AGCACGAACAGGTTACAGCTCTCCTTGGGGCAGCCGTAGAAGGTGTTCAGATATTGCTGGAAGACAGGAACACCCGGAGGCAAGCAGCCACGTCAGGATGGCACAATACTGACCAAAGTAGTCAGGGAATCCAACAGCACTGGGTAGAATCCCGGGTTCCCCAATCAGCTCTGTGACCCACTGGTTGAGTCACATCAAAGCTGTAAAGCATGGCTTGCAACACGTGTTGAGTGCTTACTATATGCCCTATATGGTTATTGTTACTATCCCCATCATCCAGATGAAGAAACTAAAGCTCAGAGAGGTTAAGAAACTTGCCTAAGATCCCACAGCTCATGAACGGAGGAGCTAGATTCGGATCCAAGCAATCCGGCTCCTGGGTCCACACTCGGAACTCTAACTCTCTGCCCCTCTTCTTCTCCTCTGTCATCTCTTTTAATTCACCTAACGGCTGATGACATAGAAATTGTTCTTTCGCTTTTCTTATAAGGAGTTTCACGGCTTATGTGCACGGATTCCCGTCGCAGACAGACCTGGGTACAAATCCTAGATCTGTCATTTCCAAAAAAGAAAATCATCTCGTCTTTCTGGATCTGAGCAGCCAGCTCTGCCCTAACCGAGGCCTAAACCAAACAGACCCCTGGGGAGTCGCAGGGACCGACCAGCTCATTTGTCTCCTCACCAAATGTTTTTTTGACGGCTGCCATGTGCCCAGCCCTGTGCCAGTATTATTGGGGATAAACTGGTGAACACGACGGATGTTTCTAGTCTCCAGGGTTCAGATCCCAGTGTGGGGAGGCTGATAGACCACAGTGGGTGCAATATTAAATATGTGATCTGTGTTGTAAAGACAGCCAGGAGACCTTATTACGGGGGCCCTAACCTTGTTTGGGGAGCAGTTAGGAACGGGAAATAGAGGGTATAATAATAGTGATAATGAGAATGAGAACAAAGGTTATCCCTTATTGAATGTTTACCGTGTGCCAGGAACCCTCCCTTCAAGGTGTCTAGGATTACTTCCCCCTTAGCCCTGAGACAAGCATCACTATTATTTTGTCTGAGGAAGCAGGTGAGATTGAGAACTTAAGTCACTTGCCTAAGCAGGTCAGTTGTTAGAGTCTCTCTGATGTGAACCTAACCAGTCTAAGTCTAGAGGAGGCTTCTCAGGCCTCCTACTGCATTGCCTCTGGGCAACATGGACTTCCAGGTGCTGTAGGAGGTGTGGGGACCCAGGTAGCTTTGTCAGTGCTACAAAGCTCACCTTCACCCCCAACCAACAGCCACGTCAACATGCCGGCCAGCTCCAGACCCTTGTGAAAAAGCAGCCCCCTAAAAATATAAGGTCTCCCAACCCACTTACCCAGCTGGGACAGAGGTCTATATGTAAAAAATGATGCCCCCTGAGAAGGGGCACCTAGGGTGACCAGAGGGGACCAAAGTCCTGTCCTGGGCAGGATGGGGACCAGGATGAAGGAGAATGAGATTTCCGGGGTAGGTGAAGCAATAAAGGAGCAGATGTCTGGAAGCCGGGAAGGAACATCCGGAGGGGTCCTCAGCCCCAGGGGCTCTCAAGGTGAGGAGAGGTGCCCCTCGGGTGCCCCCAGGCCCTTGTGTAACGTGTGACGCTGCCGCGGTCGGTCAGGGAGCCCTTCCAGCCAGGCAAGCGAGTGAGTGAGCGCGCTGGCAAAACAACGTCTGAGCCACAGCTCGGAGCCCCGCCAGGAGGGAGGGCTGCCTGGCGGCTCTCCGGCCGGCCGGGGCTCCTGGCGCTCAAGGCTCAGTCCGCCCCCGCCCCACGCGCCCGGGCCCTCCCGCGCCGCCCCTCCCTGCGCCGGGCGGCCAGCTCTCTCCTCGGGTCCTCAACCCTCTCTGGAGAAGTTCGAGGAAACTTTCCGAGGTGCAACCCTTGACCTTCCTGACCAACTTGTCAATTGCGCCAGGTGAAAACGATGCTCTCTCTGCTTCCCTCCTGCCCCAAATATCTGCCTAAAGGTCCCCTCCAAGGCCTCTCTCCAGATGGATGCCAAAGGTTCCTCAACGTTGGCCAAGCTCTGCTTTACCCTGAATTCCTCTCCACATGTGTGCAAAAGTTAACCCAAATTGTGTGCCAATGGACCCTGTTCCCGAAGTCCTACAGAGGTTTCGGAAGATCCTCCATTTTCAGAAGAGACCCCTTTTAGGCCTTTGGCCAAAGGTCTCCGACTCTCGCCAGGGGCCTGTTAGCCCCAACCCCCCAGATGTGTCCAAAAGTTGTTTACAAAGCTGCCCCCTTGCCAAATCCCCCAGATACTACACAATGACCCTGCTATTTACAAAAGGGGTCCCTTCCAGCTGTTTGCCAAAGCATTCCCTGCCCTACCCCCGCTGGTTTCTCGCCCCCC